GAGGGGGAAGGCACAGGGGAGGCAAAGGCAAGAGAGTGAGATGGAGCAAAAAGGATACTGAGGGGCAATAAGATCTGAAAGCCACAAAGCGCCTGGAAGGCCTCGGTGAGAATTTGGTGGGTAAACTGGGTAGAGCGGCCCCGCCCCCCCCCCGCCCCCCGCCCGTGGAGCGCCGCTTATTCCCATTGCGTCACCTCAGGGGATGTGGCCCATCCAAGGCTGGGCCCAGGAGGGCATGCGCGGAGACAGGACACGCAGGACCTTTCCTCCCCGGCCATGGAAGACGTGGCCCTGATGGAAGTCACCAGTCCTTTCGAGAATTCGGGGAAATCTAAGGACACTTTTCCCGGGAAGATTGCACACGCAGTTGCAGGCGGGGCCCCGGTGAAGCGCTAAACACTCCGACTCAGCAAGTCTACTTCTAGGAGTTACTAGAAACTCCTACCAGGGCAGAAAGCTGGATACGCAAGGTCGTCGCAGGGGCGGAGTGGAGGCGGGGAGGGGCCCCGGCCCCCGACCCCTGAGATGCCCGCCCTGGATGCGTGGCTCCCCGTCCGGCCTCCGCAGGGAAGCCCTTTAACTGGCCAGAGACGGAGCGGGAAGGAGATGGTTTCAAAGTTTAACATTTAAACTCGCCTCCCCAGGAAGCCGCGGTCTCCGCCCCGCACCCCGCCACCTCCCGGGCCCGCTTAGGTAGGTAAAAGCTGTGAGCACCAGGGGGCGCTGTGGTCCAATTTTCCGGGTTCTTGGCTCTTTCACGTCAGTACTTGGAGCTGGGGTGACCCTCACTGGAAACTCTAAGTAGGTCAGTGGTTGCTCCGTGCTTCTCCGCGGCAACACTGCTTCCACCGCCTCGGCCTCTGCTCTTTATTTATGCCGAGGTGCTGTTGTAGCGTCTCTGACTTAAGGACATTTTGATTCAACCAAAATTCACGGATCTCTATGGGCCGTAGCAGCCGGCAGCGTCAGGCCCTGAGCACGTCACAGGCATCACGCCAAGCCCTCCGCATGCGTTACTGAGACTTGTCAAAACCCTCCTATGAGAATGAAATCCAACCTCCCTCTCTATGTGTTTTACAAAGCCCCTCCACAAGTCCATTCGCCATTGGCTCCCTCAGCCACAGCTGCTGTGTTTCAAACACACGACTCCCGTTCCAGCCACAGGACCTTTGCACCTGCTGTTCTCGTTACCTACAATGCTTTGCCCCCAGTTCTTCGTATCCTCCCTCCTTCCCGTTTTAGCTCAAATGTCACCGTGCTTTATTTCCTCAGGACATTTATCCCAACTTGGTGTGTTTTCTTAGGGGTTCTCTTCCTGTCCTAGGGAATGGCCCCCATTCTCGATTTTGCTGGCTGCTTCTTTGTGACCCTATATAACTTGTTCTTAGCATCTGTCCCCACCATCCCCACCGTGCTGTTTCCTCAGGTCAACAGGTGGTTAGCACTACCTGGACGAGGTTCCACTGTAGGTCAGAATACTCTCACTGGTGGGGCTGGGTACCTCCTGTCGCATCTCCTCAGGAGCTCCATAATGTCAGGGTGCTACAATTCATTTGTGGGTTGGTGGGAGTGGGGCAGGTGTCCCCTGGTCCCCACCAATTCTCCACTTAAAGGTGTTAGCAGCCATCACGCCTCAATGACTGGACCCATCCTCTCCTGAAGATTATTTTCAACCTTATTAATCCTTCCCCTGGAATTAGCTGGGATCCTTCTCTCTCTCTCTTTTTTTTTTTAAGATTTTTTTAAAAAATTTATTTGTCAGAGAGAAAGCACAAGCAGGGGAAGGAGCAGAGGGAGAAGCAGGCTCCCCGCTGAGCAAGAAGCCCGACACAGTACTCCATCCCAGGACCCCAGGATCATGACCTGAGCCGAAGGCAGACACTTAACCGACTGAGCCACCCAGGCGCCCCTAGCTGGGATCCTTCTCAAATGACCTGTCCCTCGGCAACTAGTCGGACTGTACAGAAACTAACAGCCTGATACATTTTCTTAGGTATTACCTGCAGGATCCCCAGGAGGCAGCAGGATATATGAGTTTATCAGGGGGGGGTCTGGGGTCGAGACAGACCTCAGGGTGACTGGTGGTCACATTGTAAGCATATAGGAAGCATCCAGAAAATTCTGGCTGCCATAATGATAATCATCATAATATATTATGGATATAATAATAATAACATTATTATTATTTGACACTCTAATGGGGTCTGGCCCTGGGCGGGCTAAGAAGGAGGGTCTCACAAAGTGAGCAAAAAGGATTTCTCAGGCTCACATCAGCGCTTTGAAGGGTCTGAGGGCACGGCCCCCAGGAGAAGTGAGGATGGGTGGTCTCAGGATCAGGAATGTGTGCGTTCTCCACCCATGCTGTGCAGGGAGCCTCTTCTAGAATAATATCTGATCCAAGTCACATGGGAAGAAAGGTTTGTAGTCTGGAACTTGCTCTGCTGAAATAAATGTGAGGCTCCGGGGCACACTGGAGACTGCCAGTTGGGCAGGAGGGGTGAAAGCGGGGACCCTGGCAGAGGAAGGGGCAGAAGAAGGAGTGCCCAAAGTCTTCAACTTGGGAGGCAGGGGCTTCGTGGCCCCAGGGCAGGGACAGGAAGTGAGTGTGACTCAGCGAGCCAAGGAAAGCTCCAGGAAGGAGGCTGTCAGCTCCAGGGGAACCCAGACAGCGAGAAGGCAAGGCAAGCTTCCCTTTTTTTGTTTTTCTAAAATTACTCAAAATCTTCAAACACCAGTTAACCAACAGCTGCCAAGAATATTGTGAAAAGGCCCCTGGAGTGAAGAAATTGCCCAGCGAGTGGAAAGGCTCTCCTCCAAGGGGGCCAGAGAGGGAGTCTCCGGGGCTGGGGCGCTGGGATCGCTGGGGGGGGGGGGGGGGGACAGGACAGGACAGGAGGGGGAGCCCCACCCTCGATGACCACAGTTTTTTGTGAGACCACTCGGAGTCTCGGTCCCTGTCGGTGGCCAAGGAAATTCTGGGAAAATGCTGGTGAGAAAAGGTGACATCTCTGCAGCATTTGCCCTGTGTGGTGTCACGGTCTCCATGGTCTCTGCAGATGCACGTGAATAAATCAGAAGGAGAAAGACAAACACTGCATGATTTCCCTTATATGTGAAATCGATGTCCCCCCTCTTATTGAAATATAATTGATATGTAACATTGTGTCAGTTTAAGGTGTACAATGTAGTGATTTGACCTATGAATATATTGCAAAATGATTTCTACCATAAGGTTAGTTAACACATCCATCGCCTCAGAGTTACCATGTGTATGTGTGTGTGTGTGTGTGTGTGTGTGTGGTGAGAACCTTTTGTGTGTGTGTGTGTGTGTGTGGTGAGAACCTTTACAATCTACTCGATTAGCAACTTTCAGATATACAGTCCAGTCGTGTTAACTGTAATCACCCCGGAGTACATTAGGTTCCCCAGAACTTATGCATCGTCTAGCTGGAAGTTTGGACCTTTGGACAACCTTCCCGTATTTCTCCACTCCGCCCCCTGGCAAGCACTGGTCTGTTCCCTGTTTCTATGAGGTTTTTGGGTGGTTTTGTTTTTTTAAAGATTTTATTTATTTATATTAGAGAGAGAGAGCAGAGGTGGGGCAGAACGAGAGGGAGAAGGAGTCTCAAGCGGACTCTGAGCTGAGCGTGGCGCCCAATGCTGAATTCTAACCCAGGACCCTGAGATCATGACCCGAGCCAAAACTAACAGTCGGCTGCTCAATTGACTGTGATACCTGGGCACCCCGGGTTTTTTTTAATTAGTTAGTTAATTAATTAGTTAATCTCTACACCCAGCGTGGGGCTTGAACTTACGACCCCAAGATGAAGAGTCACATGCTCTTCCAACTGAGCTGGCCAGGCACCCTGAATTTGTTCGTTTGTTTGTTTGTTTAAGATTGATACGTGGAATCTAAAAAAAGCCAGGGTGGCACCTGGGTGGCTCAGTTAAGCTTCTGCCTTCAGCTCAGGTCATGATCCTGGGGTCCTGAGATCAAGTCCTGCTCTGCGGGGAGCCTGCTGCTCCTTCTGCCTCTCCCCTTGCTCGTCCTCAATCTCTCAAATAAATAAATAAAAATCTTAAAAAAAAATTTAAAAAATCAAAAAGCCAGGCTGGGTGGAAGGAGTTTCCACAAACCTCTTTCCCGCCCCCCTTTACTTTGCCCTCCGTGCATCCTCACCCTGGTCCATGTACTGCTCACCCCAGGGTTTGGGGGAGAAAATGCCTCGGTTAAAAGGGAAGACTTTGACGTTGGACAAATCTGGGTGAAATCTCCCCTTTGAGAGTGAGCCAACCATACCCAGTGTCAGTTTTCCCACCCGTAAAACAGCACCCAGCCATTTGGGGAATTGGGGAGATGGTGCTGGGAGAGCGCTGGGGCCTGTGGTGGAGGCCGGGGTGTGGGGGAGGCTCAGTTTTACCCCAGGAAGCCAGATTCCACCCCCATCCCCTTTTATTCACAGTTCCTCAGTTGGTGGGGAGGGTGCAGGGTACTTCATACCCGGTCCCCCCCATTTCTTGGTTACTCCCTGTGAGTAGGAATACCCGGGAACATTTCTTTTATAAATTTCTGTATTCTTTGAATTCCTTTTTAAATAGGAACATTTTTTAAAAATTTTTATTTATTTATTTGAGAGACAGAGCTAGCCAGAGACAGCACGAGCAGGGAGGAGAGGGAGAGGCAGGCTACCCGCCGAGCTCATGTGGGGCTCGATCCCAGGACCCTAGGACTACAACCTGGGCCGAAGGCAGATGCTTAACCAACTGAGCTACCCAGGTGCTCCAAAATGTCCCTGGGGCACCTGGATGGCTCAGTCGGTTAAGCATCTGCCTTCAACTCAGTCTGTGATCCCAGGGTCCTGGGATCGACCCTGCTTCTCCCTCTGCTCCTCCCCCCCCCAATGCTTTCTCTCTCTCAAATAAATAAATGAAATCTTAAAAAAAAATAGGGACATTTTATTTCTGTCATTTCTTTAACAGAAAAAGAAAAGCTATAGGAATATTCTCAAAACAATGTTGCTTTTATTCTTTTTCTTTCTTCTTATTTTTTAAAGCTGGGACAGTGCTGTGGTCATCCAGGGAGTGCCCCCCACATACACACACTTCTTGGGGCTGAAAGGTGCAGATCCTTGAGACACACCATCAGGGTTGAAATCCCAGCTCCTCCACCAACTTGCTGTGTGACCCCAGACAAGTCATTTAGCCTCTCTGGGCCTCAGCAGCTCCTCTTGTAGATAATAATCATCTCTACCTGACCGGCTGGTGGTCATATGTATAAATTGCTCAACAAACAGTAGATGTGATCATCTCAGGGCACCCCAAGGAGCCGCCAAGTGAAAGATATTCTGTAAGGGGTCCAGAGGCTCAAGGAACCCAGGCACACCTAGAGACGAGAGTGGGTCTACTGCAAAGGAGAATCTCAGGTGGTTAACACTGGAAATCTCCATGCTCTTTACCACCCAACATTCAGGCTCTCACTGTTCCTTGCCCCAAGGCACAACCTGGCCCCCTCAGGTCTTGCCTGTCATCTCCCCACCTCTGCAGCTGGTAGTTAGCTGCTCAGACTCCCCTTCTGCCAGACAGGACCCCCCACCCCGACCCCCTGGGTCAGAAGCGTTTCTAAATGAAGCCAGGCTCACCAGCTCTTGCTTAAGAAAGCGGGCAGGGTTCCAGGGCTCTTGCTTTTCTTTTCTGTCGTTGATGTGGAACAGGAAGCAAATGATTCCTGATTCGGCCGAGCCCCCTGTCATCTCGTCTGTCAACAGGACAGCAAGTTGATATCTAGCAAGGCAAGTAACTCCGGTTACTTCTGGAGGTCAGTTTCCAGGCCCTCCTGGTTCATAATAACCCTTCAAGGACAGAAGTACACTAATAGGCAAGAACAAGCTGGTAACAGTTGTGAATATTCACAAGGTCTGCAGGTCCACATGGGAAGACGGGTGGTATGGAGCCGAAAATTCCTCTCTCTGTGGCTTCAGGACACAGTTTAAAACCCTTAAGATCTTTTGGGACCTCTTTTATTTCCCCAACTATCACTTAAGTTCTAAGTACTGGGTGGTGACAATCACACGACTCTATGCATTTGTCAAAACTCATAGAACTCAGTAAAAAGAGTGAATTTTACTTTATGTAAATGACACCTTATGTTTTTAAAAAGACAATACTTGGGAGGTGCCTGGGTGGCTCAGTCAGCTGAGCAGCCGACTCTTGATTTTGGCTCAGGTCATGATCTCAGGGTCCTGGGATGGAGCCCCGTGTCAGGCCCTGTGCTGGGCGTGGAGCCTGCCTAAGATTCTTTCTCTCCTTCTCCCTCTGCCCCTCCCTCCCCCTCACATGCATGCATGTGCTCTCTCTCTTTCTCTCTAAAAAACAAAACAAAACAAAAACAAAAAACTAAAAAGACAATACTTGGGAAAAACAAAACATTCATGCAGCATGCAGGCATGTACATTTGTCAAAATACATCCGACTGAACACTTGAGGTGCATTTTATTTAACAAAAATTATACCTCAATAAAATTGATTGTAAAAGACAGTGACTGCCCTATTGTATGCTTTATTATTTTATTTTATTTTTTAAAAGATTTTATTTACTTATTTGAGAGAGAGATAGCGAGAGAGCACGCACGAGCAGGGAGGAGAGGGAGAAGCATGCTCCGTGCGAGCAGGGAGCCCGATGCGGGGCTCGATCCCAGGGACTCCAGGATCATGACCTGAGCCAAAGGCAGAGGTTTAGCCAACTAAGCCACCCAGGTGCCCCACTATTGTACGTTTTAAAGACCTGGCTCTGAAATTTTATTTGATAGCATTTGATGCAAAATTGAGGCCACTGGACCTCAGTGTCACTGATAGAAATCAGGGGGAATAAAAATAAATTTTTTTTAAGTTTATTTTTTTTTTAGGCATCTCTATACCCAGGGTGGAGCTCGAACTCACGGCCCTGAGATCAAGCATGGCATGCTCTTCCAAATGAGCCAGCCAGGTGCCCCTAAAATATTTTATTTTCTTCAAAGAGAATGAAAGGGCATGTAGCCCTTTCCTGCTACTTAACCAAGGGTTTTCAAACTAAGTCCCCAGGGAATCCTAGGGGTTCCACACACACCCCCTGCTTTTCACCTGACCTGTAGTCAGAGCTGCCCGCTTCTGTGCCCCTCAAAAGCTTTTATCTGAAAAGTTCTGAGACTAAAGGGTTTGAAGGATCAGAGCTCTTAACAAAATGACTCTTGCTGTGTCCCAAACTACCTTGTATCCAAGCTGTGTCTGGGGGTCTTCAAGGAAGGGAGCCTGCAAAATTTATTAATGCCAACCAGGCTCTCTGCCTTCCTGCCCACTGGTTTTCTTTCAGTTCCTCAAAGCTGGTGCACGCTGTCCTTCCCCAGGGCCTTGGGACAAGCAGTTCCTTCCACCCAGAATGCCCTCCCTGACTGGTTCTCCTGCTTAACTCTTGCTCACCCTCCACCTTCCGCTCAGCCATCTCTTCCTCCATAAAACCTCCCTGGAATCTTCCACCGGGGGCCACATTCTTCTGCCAGAAGTTTTCCCAGAATTCAGTTCCTCTCCTCTGGGGCAGAGATGAGTGGTGGAGTGTGAGGCCAATTGAGCTCTTTCTTGGTGTCTGTCTTCCTCCTACAGACAGGGCAAGGTGCGTGAGGGCTGGGGGGTCCCCTTGCTCCCCACTGCATGCACGATGCATAGCATCATATCTGGCGCAAGTAAGTGCTCAAGAAATATTGCCTACACTTTGGCCTGTGTACACGGTTGTATTTACATAGGGATTTCACACACACGTCACTGAAATAGAGTGTGTGTAAAGAAAAGTGTGCAGATGTAAGCGTATGCTCAGATTTTCACTAGCTTCCCATTTTCCCTCACTCCCCAGGGAAGTTCCATCCTCATCTCCAACAGCATAGATGAGTTGTGCTTTTTTTTTTTTTTGAGAGAGAGAGAGAGAGAGAGAGCAGGTGTGTGTGTGTGTGTGTGTGTATGTGTGTGTGTGTGTGTGTGGAGTGGGGAGAGGGGAGGTGCAGAGGGAGAGGGGAGAGAGATTCCCAAGCAGGCTCCACACCCAGCATGAAGCCGGACACAGGACTCGATCTCAGGGCCCTGAGATCATGACCTGAGCGAAAATCAAGAGTTGGATGGTCGATCGACTGAGGCACCCAGGCACCCTGCCCTGGTCCTTTGTGCGGTATGTTCTTTTCTTTTCTGTGTCTGGGTTGTTTCGCTCACAGTTATGTTTTGTGAGATTCATCCAGACCGTTGCATGTAGCCGCAATTCGTATATTGTGATCTCTCATTCACACTCACTGCTATTGACCAGGAATGGACAATTTTTTTTTTTTCTGTAAAGGGCCAGATGGTAGCCGGGTTCACCTTTACAGGGCATAGTCTCTGTCACTGACCTGGGAAAGCAACCTCAGACAATCTATTAAAAAAGTAGGCATGGTTATGCTCCAAGAACACTTATAAATAACTGGGATTTCAATTTCATGTACTTTTCATATGTCACTGTTAAATTTTTTTTCCAATGATTTAAAAATGTACAAACTTTTTGGCAACTCCTCGAAAAGTTAAGCACAGAATTGTCATATGATCCAGCAATCCCACTCCTGGATATACACCCAAGGGAACTGAAAGCAGGGACTCAGAGATGCTCAGAGATGCTCATACATTCCAAGGTTTACAGGGGCATCGTTGACAAGAGATGGAAACAACAAAGTAAGTTGCAACTAACAGATGAATGGATAAACAAAATGTGGTGTGTCCCTACAGTGAAATATTCGCCATAAAAAGGAATAAAGTTCTGCCCCATGCCACAACATGGATGAAGCTTGAAAACACTTATGCTAAGTGAAAGAATACAGACACAAAAGGATAAGTATTGTGTGATTCCACTTACTTGAGGTGTGAACAGGCAAAATCATAGAGACAGAAAGTAGATGGTGGGAGCCAGGGGGTCTGGCAAAGGGGGATAGGGAGTTAGTGTTTCGTGGGGACAGAACTTCAGTTTGGGAAGATGAGGAAGTTCTGGAGATGGTTGGTGGGGACGGTTGCACAACAATGTGAGAGTACTTCATGCCCCTGGACCCTACACTTAAAAAATGGCTAAAATGGGGCACCTGGGTGGCTCAGCCAATTAAGTGTCTGCCTTCGGCTCAGGTCATGATCCCGGGGTTCCAGGATCGAGCCCTGCATCGGGCTCTGCGCTCAGTGGAAAGTCTGCTTCTCCCTCTGCCCTGCCCCACCCCTTGCTATCTCTCTCTGTCCGTCCCAAATAAATAAATAAAATCTTTTTAAGAAATGGTTAAAATGATAAGTTTAATGTGAAATATATTTTGCCACAATTTTAAAAATCCGTTTGTATTCAAAAAAAAAAAAACACCCAAAATGTAAAAACCATTCTTAGCTCATGGGTTGCACAGAAATAGACAGTGGGCCAGATTTGTCCCATGTGCTGCAAGTTTGCCACCATCTGTTACAGATTGTTCCACTGAAGGAAAAAAGAAAACATGATTTCATCCATTCTATTGTTGAGAGGCATTTGGGTATGAACATGGTATGCAGTTCTCACTGCATATTTATTTATTTTGGGGGAGGGTTATTTTGTTCATGCTTATGTTCCCCGCCCCTGCATGCAAACTCCTATTTCTTTGCCTGTCCATGGGACGGGGGCTTCTGGAATCATCCCCCAGGACTACCTCCTGAGAAGGGTGGGCTCTCGAATGGGGGAAACTGTAGCAGGGAAGGGGGCGGGCAGAGCTTCCTACCCCTGGGCCCTTAGAGTCTGCCCTGGGGGCTTCCTCTTGGTCCCGGATGTGGGAGGGGAGGGCCAGGGAGCCAAGACACTCAGCCAAGAGTGGAAGCTCCACATCCAGCAGAAGCCTTAAAGAGGGAGATGTGGCAGGGGCATGAAATCAGTGCCCGAGATTTGGCCTGCTGAGTACGTCCTGAGGGTAAGTGACAGCTGCCCCTGCTCAGCCCAGAACCCCAGCCCGAGGGGGCCTTGGCAAAGCTGGGATGCCAGCCCTGTTCCCCCCCAGGATTCCATATCCCACCTGCTCTGGAGGCTTGACCCTCCCCAGATGAGAAGGGACTGACCTGGCTGTCGGTTCTGTCTTGCAGCACCTGCAGGATGAAGGCTCTTGCCCTCCTCCTCCTCCTTGTCCTGGGGCTGCTGGGGTGTGGCAAGTCTCTGTGTCCAGTGGATGAAGCCATCAATGAGAAGATCCAGGATGGCACCAGATCCTTAAGTGAGGACCCTCACTTCCAACCTCAGCAGGGGCCTCAGAGGGGGCCCTCTAATTCCCGAGATGGAGCAGCCATCAATTCTGCCCCAACCAGAACCAAACCTCCACCCCAAACCCAAGCCAACCCCAGCCCCCATCCAGCTCCATCTTTGGCAGAAGCTCCAAATCCTCCTTCCTCCAAAACCCCTATCTCAAGACAGAACCTGGGAGGTGATGAGCTTCCCATCTCATGGCTCTCCACCAGGGCCTGGCCCACCTGGGCCTTCCTCAGAAGAGTTTTCTTGACCACCTGCCTATCTCCAAACCACCAGGGCCAGGGCCACATGAGAACAGGGGCAGCTTGGTCTCACAGCTTCCTTCTCTCCTCCCTCCCGCAGTTCTTGAGACAATGAGGAACTTTGGCCTGAGCTGCCAGAGCATCACCTCCAGGGGGGACCTGGCCACCTGCCCTGCAGGTGAGTACTGAAGTCCTTTTCCAGGCTCTCGCTTCTGTTCCAGCACCCAGGAACCCCTCCCCCTAAATCCAGCCTCTATTTCTTGAGTCAACTTCCCCAGGATCCTGGTCTGCGGCCCGAGCCTTCTCCCCGCCCCAGCTCCGGGACAGCTTGGGACACAGCCGCCCACGCAATCCGGCTCCCATTCATTCCCTGGTGTTGGAGCCCGCGGCTTCCCCCCGGACCCCCTGGCGGGTAGCCTCCCGCCCGGGGCCAGACTCCCTCCGCTCCGGCCCACAGGCTTCGCCGTCACCGCCTGCACCTGTGGCTCCGCCTGTGGCTCGTGGGACGTGCGCGCCGAGACCACATGCCACTGCCAGTGCGCGGGCATGGACTGGACCGGAGCTCGCTGTTGCCGCGTGCAGATCACCGCCTGAGGTCCCCGGGGTCACGGTGCCGGCTGGGGGGCGTGGCCAGGCCTCGAGGGGGCGGGGTCAGGCCGCTGACGGGGCGTGGCCAGGCCTCGGAGGGGCGGGGCTGGAAATAAACCCTGAGAAGGTGAGGGTCTGGGCGCGGCGCTGTCTTTTGTGGGGGGTGGGAGACTGAGCTGGCGTCTCCGAAAACAGCCGGGCACGCAGACGCTGGAGGGAGGCGGTGGCCGGGCCGCCCGTGACTTTCCTCTGCCCATCCCTCTCCTCCCATGTTGTGCCCCCCTCTCCCCATCTCCGAGAACAAGGCCTCTACTTCCTCTGAGGACACTCCCACCCAAGAATCATGGCCTCCTTCAGGAGGGGGAAGTGCGTGTTACCTTTAAGGCCACCTTGACGGTCACCCTCGGGTCTCTGGCCTTCCAGGAAATCGCTGGGTCATTCTGTCCTAGCCCCTACAATGAGGCTTCACTCGGGGTCTGGGTCTGGATGGGACAGGGACCCCCGCCGCCCCCCCACTCTGCATACACTTCAGGGCCCCAAGCCTCCAGAAGCCCCAGGGTCAAGGCGGACGCCTGGGTCATCTCTCAGCCCAGAGGCCTCAGCTGAGATCCCTCACTCCCCAACCTCATGGAGGGGCCTGCAGGGCACAGGCAAAGCTGGGTCGTGGACAGGAAGGAATCTTCACAGGAGCAAGCTGAGAACTCTTACCGGAGGCCACGAACCACAAGTTTATGTTTTCACACATGCAGCGCAGTTTTGAGTAGTTACAACCTGCAGTACACAGGGGCACATACGCCCTCATGGACACTTGAATATGAAAACGCAGGGCAGGGTACTTGTTTGCCCTTTGGTGTATTCCTGGCACTCAGAAGAGAGCATACCACATAGTAGGTGCTCAGGAAATGTCTGCTGAATAAATAACCACCTTCACACGTGGATACACCATCCAGGTGCACACACTACATGTACACACACGGTACACAACCCAGTTACTATGGTCACACAGGGACACACCATGGCCACAGACACATACATGGGCACAAGAAAGGACCACTGGAACACACAGGCACGGCCATGGAAGGAGGAACATAGACACGTAGATGTGTAAACCTTGGGCAGAGTCTCTTGCTTCTGACATCAAGTCCCCATCCCCGCCTGGACGACATCAGTCCCCATCTGAATTCTGACCTGGAAGACGAGTCACCTGCAACACTTACACAGTTTCCTGGGGGCACAGATCCAGGTGATTCAGGGTCCAGTTCCCTGGGAATCCTAACCCAGGGGTCTTAAAAATCCAGCCCCTGCGAGATGCAGACACAGATTTCAGAACACTTGGTGCCCAGTCTTGAAAGGGACCCCAGACTCAAATGCCCCAGCCCCCAGGAGCTGGAGAACAGGTGATGGGGTAGCATCCTGGTTTTCAAGATGTTTTGGACTCTCCTGCAGGGAGGCAGTGGCGGGGGGGTGGGCGCCCGTGACTTTCTTCTGCCCATCCCTCTCCTCCCATGTTATGCCCCCATCTCTGCCACCCACCCCCTAGGATGGCACAGCCCCCTGTCTGATTCCGGCAGCCATGAGCTGAGATCACAGACTCTCCTCTTGCCCCTGGAGCCCACCCATACCCCAATCCAGAGATTCCCCTCCTAAATCCTCCCTCCTAACCCCATGTGGCCATGGGGTTGAGGTGGGACCACTGAGTCAGAAGTGTGCTGAGGAGCAGAGAGGGTGGGTCTGGAACCTTGCCTGTCCCACCCCCTCACTGATGTGGAGGGGGGGTGCACTCCTTTGTCCCCAGACTGATTGGAATGCCTCTTTATCTCCAAGTCCCGTTCAATTATCCCCCTATGTCTGGACCCCAAAAAGTCCTCTTCAGAGTCCTCAATTCCAGCACAGTCATTCTCCTGTCCCAGAGTGCAGACTTGGACAGGCAAGCCCCCTTCTCAAGCCCCATTTTCTCACTTGCCAACCGCCCAGCCCCCCTGAGGCAGCCAAGAGTTTTTCAGTTGCAAGCGCCACAAACCCCACTGCAGGTTAGCTTGAGCAAAAGTAAAAGGAAGTTTCTGGGGGCACCTGGCTGGCTCAGTCAGTGGGGCGTGCAACTCTTGATCTCGGGGTGTGAGTTTGAGCCCCATGTTGGGTGTAGAGATGACTTAAAAATAAAATCTTTAAAAAAGAAAAAAAAAAGAGGAAGTTTCTGGATATGTAACTGAGAAGCCCAGGGTTAAAGATTCACTTATTTTTTTTAATTTTTTTAAGATTTTATTTATTTACTCGACAGACAGAGAGACAGCACAAGCAGGCAGAGTGGCAGGCAGAGGGAGAGGGAGAAGCAGGCTCTCCGCCGAGCAGGGAGCCGGACGCGGGGCTCGATCCCAGGACCCTGGGATCATGACCTGAGCCGAAGGCAGCCGCCTAACCGACTTGAGCCACCCAGGCGCCCCTCGCTTATTTATTTTAGAGAGAGAGAGTGCGGGGTGGGGAGGGGCAGAGGGGGCAGAGGGAGAGGAAGAGAGAGTCTACACTCAGCACAGAGCCCGATGCAGGGTTCAATCTCACAACTCTGAGATCACGGACCTGAGTCGAAACCAAGAGTTGGACTCTTAACCAACTGCACCAAGAGGCCCAGGGTTAGAATGACAGATTCAAGTATGGGTGGATCTAGCCCTCAAATGACGTCTCCAGGATCCGACTCCCTCTCAGGTCTGCTCTCCTCAATGCTGGCTTCTCTCTCAAGCAAGTTCTCCCCCATCACAGCTCCAAGGTTACATTTTCCCAGTCTGAGAGCCCCAGTGGAGAGAGAGAGAGAGAGAAAAAAAAAAAGAGGAAATGCCTTTTTTCCTGGTTAATGCCCCAAAAGTCGCAGTCCTGAGTTTCATTGGCTGAATCTGGCTCATGTGCCCACCCCTGTGCCAAATCTTAGACTCTGATTGCCTGGGCCTGGATCATGTACCCACTCTAAACCAATCGCTGGTTTATGGTTAGCTGTCCTGGAGACGCATATTCTTTCTTAAAAAAAAAATTGAGGCTGTTACCCCTAAGCCAGCGGCTGGTCGAGAAGCCTCACAGAGCCCTCTCAAGCCACTGTGATTGCTCGCGGGCCTCCAGTTTCACAACTGCTATTTTGTCCAGAGGGCTGGATGCAGCCTGGTCTTCGCTTCAGCCGACCTACAGAAATGTGAAATGCTGTGGCCCCACCCCCTGCACCTGTCCATCACAGCAGAGCCAGCTGCCCATTGTTCCGTCTCCTCTGTGACCGTTACATCAGGAGAGGGTCGAATCTCTCAATTGCGGACTTCTTTCTAAAATCAGAGAAAGGGGGCGCCTGGGTGGCTCAGTTGGTTAAGCGACTGCCTTCGGCTCAGGTCATGATCCTGGAGTTCCCGGATCGAGTCCCGCATCGGGCTCCCCGCTCAGCAAGGAGTCTGCTTCTCCCTCTGACTCTCCCCCCTCTCATGTGCACTCTCTCTCAAATAAACAAAATCTTAAAAAAAAAAAAATCAGAGAGAGGAGTTGACATCGAAACACTGTTAAAGCAAGCAGTCATCCTTGAGCCGACAAGGTCGGCAATAGTTTAGAAAACAGAGCATTATTCTCATCAAAACTTGGGGGACCATTCCAAAGTTATCTCAAATTTAATCATACATTTAAAAGCTAAAACATAGAAAGTCTTTTTAAAGGGCGCCCGGGTGGCTCAGTCAGTTAAGCGTCAGGTCATGATCCGAGGGTCCCAGGACCCAGCCCAGCAGGGGCTCCCCACTGAGCAGGGAGCCCGCTTCTTCTCCCTCTGCCACTTCCCCTCCATCATCTCTCGCTTATGCTCTCTCTGTCAAATAAATAAATAAAATCTTTTTTAAAAAGTCTTTTTAATTATCTTTTACTTATTTTTTCCAAAGGGAGAGAACCATAATGGTCTAGACCAGTGTTGTCCAATATGACAGCCACCAAACACTTGAAATGTCCCGTGAGTGTAAATCACGTTTGATTTTTGAAGATTTAGTACCAAAAAAAGGTACTATATCTCAATTTTTTAGTATCGTCTACACGCTGAAGTGATAATTTTGAGGGTATATTATGTTAAATAAGATGCATGATTAAAATTAACTTAGCCTGTCCCTTTTCGTCTTTTGAAGGTGGTTGCTAGAAATTTTTAAATTAAAGATGTGGTTTACATTATATTTCTACCAGAAGGCACTGTTCTAAACTTAAAGAGAGAATTCCCTACAAACTTTGTCTCATTTTTATCTCCAGTTTTCAAGGTCACAGACACAAAGAGAGCTTGAAGACATCTAGATAGAGAGCAGACATGTGAATGCATGAATATGGATATTTCTCTGGGGCAAACACGTGTAGAAGCCTGCCAATGGGCAAGCCATGTGAATACGTGAGCAGATGTATCACGGTTTCCGGGAGTGTGCATGAGTGTGGGTAGGTGAGCAGATGCGTGGGTGAGAGTGAGTGTTTCCAAGTGTTTCTCTGTCTGGGGACCCAGGGAGAGGGGACATCATGTCCAGGGTTAGGTCAAGGCGTGCATCTGGCTCTGTCCCAGATATGGGTGGAGCTCAAGTCGTTGGCCCCCTTGCCTCATATCTGTTCCTTTCCTCCATGGGGCCTTGAAGAAGTAGAATTTCTTGGGGTGGAGCTGAGGGGTAGGACTGGGGCGGGGGGTAGGAAGATGTGGGAGACCTAGAAATCCTGCCTCCAAAGCCCAGATACCTCAAACCTAGAGGGTGGGACTCCCAGGGGCCTAGATTCTCTCCTGAGAGGGGCAGGGGACAATGTTCATTTGGGTAGACACATACATAGCTTGTGTCCTTTTGTGTCTGTTCGTGACCATCCTTTAAAGTTTTTAAAATTTATTTATATTGAGCATAATTGACTTATAACATTGTGTATGTGTGAGGTGTACAGGTGTTGATTTGAGACATTTGTATATTGCAACATGATGACCGCCATAGCATTAGCTAACAGTTCTGTTGCTGGTTCCTGATCATGCTGGTTCCTGTCTCTGGGTCTATGGGCTTCTCTGCTTGGCCCTCCGTGAGACCGCTGGTCTCCTAAGACTCTCTTGATCTGGGGGGTGGGGTGTGGGGAGGATGCCCCAGGGCTGGAGGGTCCTGGGTCACTGAAAAGAGGAGATTGACCTCTCCTCCTCCTCCCCCCAACCCAGAGATTTCCTCATCTGCCACGACACCTTCCGGTGGGTGGGGATGTGTGTGGGCCAACTGGCAGACTAGGAACCATGGAGTCTGAGGAAATCTACATGAAGCAGGAGTCAAGATGCAGGCAGCAGCCTTCAAAGACAAGAAACAGAGGGCCCCAGCCAATGAGGAAGGTTAGGCACCTCGAGGTGGGGAGGGGAGAGGTCAGGTGGGAGAGATTGGGACGGGAGAGATAAGGGGTTGAAAGTGGGGTCGCAGGGCTCATTCCCCTACCCCAAAATGTATGTGTGCATGTGTATCCCCCAAACGCTCATGCACACCTTCTCCACCCCACCAAGAAGCAGGTCTTGTTTTCCCCATTCCTTATCTTTTATCCCCAGAAATTTGTTGTGTGCAGGGGTTTGGTGAGCCAAGATCTCTGAGCCCCCTTCCTACCCCCACCCCCGCCCCAGAGCTCTGGGCAGGTTTCCACTCTCACTGACCCACCCACAGGTGCAGGTAACCCTGACTATGAGAATATCACCTTGACCTTCAGAAACCAGGAGAAGCTGAAGGGCAGCCATTCATCCCTCAAGAATCAGGGCAAGCAGCCATCTGCCAGCACACACTGCACAGCCTCGGGAGGGGCCCATGGTAGGGCATCATGGGAACCAGGAGCACCATGTGGAGGTCGGGGTCAGGGGTGTGGGGCGTGGTGACATCAGGGCATGTGTGTTACAGTCGAGGGCGGGGGGGGGGTTAGCTTCGCGGGTGGGGATGATGATGTCGGTGGTGTTGGTGTTTGGTGGAAGTGTTGGTGAAAGTCTGGGTGATGGTGATGGTGGAGAGGTGACCACGTAGTGGATCAGGAAGGAACCACCTGGACAGAGCCGATGACAGTGCTGATGAGACCTGCTGCTGGGGACAATGCTAACAATGGTAGGCACTGATGTTGATGGGTGCTGGTGACAGCTACTGTTGACGTTGTGAGTGCTGGTAAAGGGGACGGTAAGGGCAGCATGATGATGACAGCATTAGGGACAACTGGTGGCTCTGGTCAGTGGGCATGTTGGTGGTCACAGTGGCTACGGCATTGGGAAGAGCGGGTGCAGGTGACAGAGTTTCTGACGGTGTTAGAGTCAGTCCAGATGGTTTGGGTGGTGGCGTTGGGCCCTGGAGGTCACCTGTCTTGCCTCTACCCCAGTCCCGACCCTGTCTAGGCCACCCTCAGAATCTGCCCAGGTCCCCTGTTGTCTGCACAGAGCCCTCACGATTCTGTACACCCTCCTCGCCCTGTCCTGCATCATCCTCTTGGCCTTGGTCCTGGCAAAGAGTGAGTAGGGTTTTTCGTTTCGGGGTTGTTGTTGTTGTTGTTTTTTGTTTCTTTGGTAGGGGCTGGGGCAGCGTGGAGGGGGTCCTCAGGAGGTGGGCAGCCCAGTGTTTCCACCCTGTCTCCCTTCTCCCTCGTTCCCCTCCCTTCCCCCACCCTTGTTCCCAGGCCTACAGAACTGGGGGCACCTCAAGGTTTTTCCTGCCTCCCCTGCCCCTCCTCCTGAACAGATTCTGAGATGTCCCAGGAGTTGCTGGTCTTGAAAAGGGAGCTCTGGAATGGTGAGGGTGGGACCTGGGGGAGGCCCACGGGGTCGGGGTGGGGGGGAGGAGAGCAGAGGTGATACGGACATGCCCACTTCATGCCTCAGTCTCCGACTCGGTGCGGGAGTGTCAGGAGGAGCAGAACCGGGGCTGGAGCTCCATCCAGCAGCTCACCAGGGAGGCCAAGCAGGGCATTCACACGGTCGAGAGAAGTGTCCAGTTCGAGGGAGAGAAAATGAAGATGTTATTAACAGGTGCCATTGCAGACCTTCCTTCCCTGGGTGGAATTTGTCTCATGCTGGGTGCTGGGGAATTGGGGGAGGGGACAGCAGGGGTCCCATTCTCCCAGCACACGGTGGGGGGGGGGTGTTTAGAAGCATGATGGATGTCACCCTCTGAGTCACTCAGGGGATATTTAAATGCTGCTAGGAACACCAAGTACGCGGGCTCCGCAGCACCCCAGGCTGGGGGTTGGGCAGGGAGGAGGCTTCCGATAAACATGGGAGCCCTGTGTGAGACCCCACACCAGATTTCTCCTATCCTCCTGCCCCCAGACATGAGCCAAATCAAGAACAAGTTACAGGAAATCTCCAAGGCACTGGAGACGAAGCCAAGCTCATGTAAGTTGGGACTGGGGAGGTAGATGAGGAGGGAGCTACAGACGTGGCCCCAGTTTCCCTCCTGGGGGAGGGATCTGCCTGACCTTGGATCTCCATCCTGCCCAGAGACCTCAGCAAATGAGAAGACATCGAAGGCCCAGCTACCCCTCCCAGTGAAGCTGTCCACGTGTGTGATCATGGTGTGTTGTGAGCCTAATGCATGACACAGTGGGTGGCTGTGTCAGCAAGGACCCCAAAGGTGTGTCAGTGTGAGTGTGGGTGTGGGCGACACGGGTAGCACTGTGAACACGTGTGAGTACCCTGCAGTATGTTGTGTATACGTGTGTCATGGCGGCGCTGTGTGTGGGGCACCCCGTGTATCACTATAATTGTGGGTGTTGTAGTGTGTGCCCTGTGCCGATGTGAGTGTGACTGATTATGCAAACGAGGGGCTTCGGAGCATGTACCCATGTATGTTCCTTTGTTTCTGCACTCACGGTTCGTGATTTGTGAAGATAAAAGCCTATGCAAAAGAATGTGGCTTTTAGATCTCATACTGGAAGCACCTGGGGGGCTTTGGGGACCTGGAGGGGGAGGGCCTGGCAAATGTTGGGGGATGGGGAAAGGCACACAGGGAGCCCGTGGACACGAGGTTGTGTGGGAATGAATGCCCCGAGTCGGTCTTCGGGTGTCCATGAACGTGTACCCAGGGAGTAACCCAGTCTCCGTGCCCAGGAGTGTGTGCCTGAGATGGACAGTGTCTCCCTATGTGCAGGTGGGCCCACAGATATATCTGAGCCCTTAAGCAGGTAGTGCTCCTCAGGGTATATGCCCACTGAGCGTGCAGCCGTGAGTGCACATGCCCCTAAGTGCCCTAGGCCCCTGGTTCGTGGATGCATGTCCCTTTTTTTTTTTTAAAGATTTTATTTTTTGACAGAGAGAGAGACAGCGAGAGACGGAACGCAAGCAGGGGGAGTGGGAGAGGGAGAAGCAGGCTTCCTGCGGAGCAGGGAGCCCGATGCGGGGCTCGATCCCAGGACTCTGGGATCATGACCTGAGCCGAAGGCAGACGCTTAAGGACTGAGCCACCCAGGCGCCCCAGATACATGTCCCTTAAGAGAACATGTACCTGAGTAAACGCACGTGTCCCTAAGACAAGAGAATGTGTGTTTAAGGCATAGGTGTGCCTCTAGGACAAACAGACATGTGTGCCCCTCAGACAGACACGTGGGCCCATCGTCAAATGTGCGCCCCCAACCGGTGACCATCCGCGCTACCGTTTGTCTGAGAGCGAGCCAACCCAAGCGAGCCCGGCCCCCGGCCCCAGGGCCACACCCCTCGGTCGGGCGCCCCGAACACGCACGCCCCCTGGTGGCCGCTCTCTGGAATCTCCGCCAGAGCGCGCGCCCCGCCCACGAGCCCGTCCCGCCGCAGCGCCTGCGCACTCAAGGCCTTTTACGGCGCCGTAAAGCAACTCGGCCAAACCGACGGCAGCAGTAAGCTGGTGAGATTCCGCCCGCCCGCGACCCCTCTCCGCGCCGGGCCTTGTCTGCTGCGGGACCCCCCCAGCCTCCCGCGCGCCTGGGGAATCCCTCGGCGTCCGCGATCCCGGGTCTGTCCGCTTTGGCCCACGCAAAGGGTCCGTGAGGACGGTGGGTCCTACTCCCCGGCCCCCTGTCGGGTCCACGCTGGCGCGGGGGTCTCGGGGCTCCGGCCTTTCCGCGGCTTAGCTTACTGGCTCCCATCGCAGCCCGGTGGGGGGGGGAGGCAACACTCCCCCTCCCATCTCGCGCGCTGGGCCCTCCCCGTGTAGACGGATGCGCACCTGGGGGGCGTCTTGGAGCCCCTGGACTCCCCCCGCGCTGGTCTTCCCATTACTCACGCAGACCTCGTTGGGGGCAGTCCAGCATCCCCCGACCCCTCCGGCCTCTTACCCCTTCCTGCTCAGTGGGAACGGGGTTCTCAGCTCCTTCTCCCGACTCCACCCTTGGCAGCGGCTTCACACAAGAGTGGGCGAGGGTCGGCGGGGGTGAAGAGAGGGGACCCCCCCCCATCCGCTCCTTCTTCCCACCCTCACCGCAGGTTAGCGTCGTGGCGGTCTCAGTGCTTGGTGCACTAGTGGGAGGATCACAGCGCCCCCTCCTGGCTCCCCCAAACCCCGGGTCTCACAGTCCACCTCCTCCACCTTATCTCTCACTGTCCCGCTACCTTTCTGGAGGGCACGGAGGTGGAGGGGTTCCCGGCGCCTTCTCGGCGGCCGCCTCCAGTCTTCCTTACAAACAAAAGCCCATCTGCATCTTCAAGGAGGCGTGCTTCGTGCATGCCAGATGGGCCCTATCAGAGCCCTTTCCTCCTGGCTTGTCCCATGTCTGTCGTCTGTCCGTCCCCCAAGCCCCACACCCTCCCGGCTGTTGGTCTTGACACACCCCACTCCCCTCTCTGGTTTCTTTGGCTTTCCGCAGAGGAGAGGCGGGGAAATTTTTTTCAACTGCAGGAAGTCAGCGCTGTCGCTTCTGGAGGCTTGCGGGGGACAGTGCCCGAGAGACCTCTGACGGCCCCCTCCCCCATGCACTAGTTCTCTAGTTGCTCCCACAGGTGGCAGAGGGGGCACGAAGGAGCTTTTCAGTGGGAGCGATCAGCTGGAACTCGAAGGTTGGGATGGTTTCTGGTCCCCCCCCCTTCTGGTCTCCTTTTCATGTCCTCCCCGCCCAACCCTCTCCTCGGCAAAGGTGTAAAGCTACTTTCCCCATTTCCCTTTACTGGAGGAGGCGTGCTTTACGTGCAGGTGGCTGCCCCCTTTCCTCCCTCTCTTCTTTTCCTACATGGGAGGTCAGCGGTGGAGTACACAAAACGGGTGGAGCGGGGCAGTGCTCCTCCACGATCTCCCTCCCCTGACACGCGGTTCCTTGTGTCCCAGCAGGTCGGCGGCAGCATGGAGGCGCGCTTTACGCGCGGGAAGTCGGCGCTGCTGGAGCGCGCACTGGTGCGGCCCCGCACCGAGGTGAGCCTGAGCGCCTTCGCGCTGCTCTTCTCCGAGCTGGTGCAGCACTGCCAGAGCCGGGTCTTCTCAGTGGCCGAGCTGCAGGCGCGCCTGGCTGCCCTGGGCCGCCAGGTGGGCGCACGCGTTCTGGATGCGCTGGTGGCTCGCGAAAAGGGTGCCCGGCGCGAAACCAAGGTGCTGGGTGCCCTGCTCTTCGTCAAGGGCGCGGTGTGGAAGGCGCTGTTCGGCAAGGAGGCCGACAAGCTGGAGCAGGCCAACGATGACGCCCGCACCTTCTACATCATAGAGCGGGAACCGCTCATCAACACCTACATCTCTGTGCCCAAGGAGAACAGCACACTGAACTGTGCCAGCTTCACCGCGGGCATCGTGGAGGCTGTGCTCACACACAGCGGCTTCCCTGCCAAGGTCACGGCGCACTGGCACAAGGGCACCACGCTCATGATCAAGTTTGAGGAGGCGGTCATAGCCCGAGACCGGGCCCTGGAGGGCCGCTGACCCCCACGGGAGATAAAGAATGCAGAGAGTCGCCCCCTTCCCAAATGTGTCTTGTGTCTTGTGTGGGGGGCCTCGCAGATCCACCTGACACCTTGACCTAGGTGCCTGCCTCAGGCTGGTGAGGGAGGCCAAGACCCAAGCATGTTTATAATACGGGAGCGAGGTGGGGGTGGGCCAGGTTCCCCCACCCAGCCCGGGATTACAGCTGGGGCTGGGGGGAGGCCAGGGGCAGTGTGGGGGGCAGTCTGCAGAAGGAGTTGCGGTGTTAGCTGGAGGTGGGAGAATGCTGCTACTCTCTGGAATCACAATTGGGGGCCAGGGTGGAGAGCTGGGGTGGGGGCTGGGGATCAGGCTAAGAGAGCCTCCTTTAGACGAGAGGCTGGCTTTTTTCTGTAAAGTCCCAGTTAGTGAGTAGTTCATGCCTGGCAGTCTCTGTCCAGCTACCCTGCGGTGTAGACAGCAGTAGGCCAAGGATTGGGTGTGGCTGGGTGCCTAGAAAGCAGGCAGAGTGTGGTGGCTGACCCCTGCGTTAGACCCTTGCTGCTCAAAGTGCATTCCACCACTGGCAGCATCTGCATCTCCTGGGAGCTGGTCAAAGTGTAGACCCTCAGGCCCACCTCATTCATGCCTGCCAACTGCGAGTCTGCATTTTAGCAAGACCCCCGGGGGAGTCCTGTGTACCTTATTTTGAGAAGCAGTGCTCTAGGGCACAGAGTAGGTTGCAACTGGGGTGGCTGGACCCCACCCCCAGAGTTTCAGATTCTGCAGATCCGGGCCGCCTGAAGATTTGCATTTCTAACAAGTTCCCAGGAACTGCTTATGCTCCAGGGGCCACACTTGGAGAGAACTCTGCCTCCAAAGACCTGGGGAAATGGGTGGGCTCACTTCAGAATCATCTGGGTGCCTACAATATTTTGAAGGTAATATCGATGATCTATGAACATATTTATGTTCCTTGTTGATTATTTTTTAAAAGATTTTATATTTATTACAGAGAGCATGCGCATGAGCATGATTAGGGTCAGAGGGAGAGGGAGAGGCAGACTCCCCACTGAGCGGGGAGCCCAACACGGGGCTCAATCCCAGGACCAGAGATCATGACCTGAGCCAAAGGCACATCTTTAATTGACTGAGCCACCCAGGCACGCCTATTTTATTTATTTTTTATTTTTATTAAGGTTTATTTGAGAGCACGTGAGTGCACAAGCAGGGGGAGCAGCAGGCCGAGGGAGAAGCAGGCTCCCCACTGAGCAGGGAGCTCCATGCGGGGCTCGATCCCGGGACCCCAGGATCATGACCTGAGCAGAAGGCAGACGCTTAACTGACAGCCACCCAGGCGTTCCTTTATTTTATTTTTAAAGATTTTATTTTTAAGTAATCACCCAACAGGGGGCTCAAACTCAACAACCCTGATCAGGATTAAGAGTTGGCATGCTCTACCGACCCAGCCAGCCAGGTGCTCTTGTGTGTTTCTTGTTTAAAAAGTAAAATCTGACGCTTAAGGCAGCCGCTCCTTTCCCTTTGGCCCACCACCCTCCCTGAGTTCCTGGTCACTCCTCCTCCCCAACGTAAATCCTGCCACATCTTTTTTTTTGGGGGGGGGGATCTTGTTCAAATTTTCCTTCCTTCCCTTCTCCTCCCAGACTTGAATTTCTTTTTTCTTAAAAAAAAAAAAATTTTTTTTTTAAAGATTTTGTTTGACAGCGAGAGAGGGAACACAAGCAGGGGGAGTGGGAGAGGGAGAAGCAGGCTTCCCGCTGAGCAGGGAGCCCCATGCGGGGCTCGATCCCAGGACCCTGGGACCATGACCTGAGCTGAAGGCAGACGCTTAACGACTGAGCCACCCAGGCGCCCCCTCCCAGACTTGAATCTCAAGTCTGATGTGAAAGACAACTTCAGGTGCCCTCGCCTGGGTCCCCTCACTGTTTACGGAGGGCTTAGGGGTAGGGTGGATGCAGCTTCTCAGTTGCTTTTTGGGATGCCTTGTGGAGGTCGGCATGAGGTGGGGAGAGCCCGGGTGCCAAGTCTGATCAGGGGGCGGTTCCAGTTATTCCAGCAAGGGGTGGGATAGGCTTCAGCACCCAGCAAAGGACTTGAGCATCCACAGCATAGATGGAACTATTGAGCCCCTACCATGTGTAGCACCGGGGATGGTCTTGGGCAGGAAACAGCTGTTGGCTGGGGGGAGGGGAGGGGCCCCAAGGGAGCTGGGGGAGGGGGTGATCAGGGTGGCAGTCTGAATCGGGTGAGGGGGCAGTGTGTAGGAGGCCAACCAGGATTGGAGATTTGAAGTCCAGGAGGGCGGTCCCCGCAGGGCTGGAAGGTGCAGGATTGGAGGAGTGAGCCGGGGCATGCTGGGAAGCCAGGGAGAAGTGCAGGAGTCCGGGTTTAGCCTCCTGAGGTGCCCCCCTGGAGTCCCTGGAGAGTGGCCTCTAGGGCCTGCCGGGTGAGGGGCAGATTGCAGAAGCAAGGGGCAAGGGGCAGGAATGGGCCAGCCAGCTCTGTCCAGGGCCCCAGCAGTGAAGGATGCCAGAGAGGAAGAGAGGGGCTGCTCCCCTAGGGAGGGATGCTGGAGAGCTTGTAGGCTGGGAGAGGGCCCAGGGTCTGTCTCTCCCTGCTGAGGGTGCATAGGGACTTGTGGACAAGGGAGGTGTGAACAATCTGTAGGTTGGGGGGGGAACGGGATGGGGGAGTGGAGTAAGGAAGAGGAACCCAGCACCAGCCCTTGGTGAACCAGGCAGGCGTGATGCCTCCCCTCATTTAATAGACCACGAAGCAGGTTCTGAGAGAAGAGGTCATTTGCCCGTGGATACACATTCATTTTTCCACAGATATTTATGGAACACTTGCTATGGGTCAGGTGCTGGGTCACAGCTGAGAACAAAACAAAAGCTCCCGCTCTCCTGAAGGTCACATTCAAGCCCGGGGGGAGATGAGAGCACACAGGTCAGTGAATGACACATTTTCTTGGAAGGGGAAGACTTTGTGGTGAGAAAGCAGGGTGAGACAAAAGGGATCTGGAGTCAGGGGTGTCATTTTAAGTGGGAGGGAGGGGGAGCCCAGGATAGCCCTCACTGAGGAGCAAGGGGGGAGGGCATGTGCAAAGGCCCTGAGGCAGGGGTGAGCCTCCATGTGTAAGGGCCAGTGTGGAGGCTGGTGTGGGTGCTGGGGTTGGGGGAGGAGAGAGCGGAGGTGAAGCTGGGGAAACAAGGCAAGCTGCGGGGATTCTGCAATCACAAAGCACCCTGTAAGACTTTGGGTTTTGTTTTTTGTTTATTTTTCTCAGAGCCAGAAGGAAACTTCTGGAAGGTGTGGGACAGTGAAGAAGGAGATCGAGGCAAGCTAGGATGAGGGCTACACCAAAGCAGTTGCTGGAGGTGGTGAGCAGTGGGCAGATTCTGCACATGGATTTCCCTGAGGATTTGGGGGTGGGGGGCAGTGAGGGAAACAGGTGCTGAGTGTGACCCCAACGTTGGCCTGAGGGGCAGAGTGGGTAGGCAGTTACGCACTGGCCTGGAGTTCCAAGGGGGATCTGGAGGAGGCAGAAATCGGTGAGCAGTGGGTAGACAACAGGTGACCTAGAGCTAGCTCTAGCCCTGGCCCTTCCTGGCCCCAGGACCCCTGGGTGCCCCTGGAGCGCCCTCCCCAGCCCCCTTGGCCCGGCCCCTGGCTCCCAGGTCCTGGGTGGTCCAGTGTGGGCCTCTCCTCATGGATTCCCCTCCAGGGGGCCTGAGAACCACGTGAGCAGACTGGTTGTTCCTTTTTTAGGCTAGGAATTGGGGGTGGGGTGGGCGGGCGAGGAGTTTAACGCGGTGTGTCCTGCCATCCTGGCCTGCCCCCTCCTCAGCCTCTGGTGCAGGGACTGACCCTGGCCAAGCCTGGGGCTGGTGCCACCTACGCCCCCCGAAACCCGTGCCAGGGCGGGGCCAGCACTTTGGACTGGGTGAGCAGGCCACCCTTGGGCCTGCCGGCATTTGCTGAGTGCCTTCTGTGTACCAGGCCCCAGGGGTGGGGTGGGGGTATGGTCTCCTCCTGACTCCAGCAGACGGTGGGTGGGCCTGACAGAGGAAGCACACCGGGGCCTGAGGCAGCCGCAGGCCACTGCTCCGAGGTGGTCCTCTGAGCACTCGAAGGCAGGGACGTGGGGACAGCCAGCTGGGCTGAGGAGGAAGGGACAGGCCCTCTGGGGAGTTGGCAGGAGCCTGGGGGTGGGTCAACAGCCCTTCTTCCGATTGGGCAGGAGAAAATGTGGCCGGGCCCTCAGCCACAAGTGGTTGAGGGTCCTCAGAGCCCAGCTGTGGGCCTGGCTGTTTCTGTGTCTGGGGCAGGGGAGCGACGCAGGGGTGCACCTGGCAGGTGGGCTGGGGACTGTCAGGGTCTGGGTCTCGGAGCACGTCCCGGTGAACCCCAGGGGGCCGAGGTGGCGGGTGGGCGGTCAGCACGTGGCCAGCCGGTCACACACCCAGCCGTCCAGCCGGCTGCCGCAGAAGGCGTCGTTCCACTCTCCGGAGCCCTGCATCATCACGCAGTCCTCGCCCTGGCCCCCGTTGTTGGGCTCCCCCGGCCGCCAGTTGCTGGAGCAGAAGGATCAGAGAATGGAGGAGGAGGAAGGAGCCCTACTGCCTTCAGCCTCGACACATCCGTCCGAGTCTGGGCCCTGCCCACCCCATCCGTGCGGCCCAGGAGTACCCTCCCCCCACATCCCCTCACCGCCACCTGGGTCTGCCCCCCAAGCCGGTCATTGCAGAGAGGCACCCCCTCTCTGAGTCGGGGCCTCGCCCCCGCCACATTCCCCCTCCTCACCTGTAGTTCAGGGGGCCCTGGTCCATCCAGATAAACTCCCCCTCTCTGTCCAGGTCCCGGAGGCCAATCCAGGTGCCCTTCCTGTTGGCATGTCTGACCAGGAAGTCCTGGGGAGCAGGACAGAACAGGAAGGGCTGGGGAGTTGTGCCCGGGCCCCTCCCACCACATGCAAGAGGTCGAGGTGGGGGTCCACACCCCCCTGCCCACTGAGCCCAGGCCCACCTGCTCCTCTTGGCT